GTCCATTCTGAATGGTGCATGTTGCCTGCTCGTGCTTGTTCGTCGGTCCATTCTTGGGCTGACTTGGCCAGTTCTGGATCACACGACATGGGCGGAGCGTCGTGTAGTTTTCGATAGTAATTGTGTAATTTGAGGCATAGAAGCTGACAGTCTGGGCCACAGGCTGAAAATATTAAAAAACAATTAAAAATAAGTCCTAGTACATTTAACAGGTATTTCTGTCATGGCCTTTCCAAGCTACTCCTGTTTGGTCTATGTGAACGTTTTTTTATATCCATATAAATAATTATAACGCGACCAAGTCAACTATTCATAACTCCAGAAGTTTGGTTTTTAGCGATTTAAAGCAGAACAGGGTTCGTGCCGAGGTATTCACTTAAAATTCAAGGAGTATGTTCAGGTAACTACGCCAAGGTTTTACAATGGTTGCACATGGCCGCCTTTCAGATTTTTCGATCTTTCTGACTAGATCTATTTCAGAATCATACAAGTAATGATCCAAGCAAAAATTCAAGGAGTTTTCAAGGAGTTTAAGGCGTAGCACGAACCCTAGCAGAAGTACAGTACCCTTTTAGCTGTTTTGGCCGCGCAATTATGAAAATGGGTGCAACTGTTCTTATCTTTAAACCCAAAACTAGCAGAGAGACATTTTGAATTGCTGAGTAACTGCAACAATAGTTGTGTTGTTGTTGTAAAGATAGCCAAGGTTTCATACTCACTGAGTCCTTGCCCACAGCTTCCAACGTTCATCCATTCTTCTGTTTGGCCGCCACCCGGGGCAGCTGTCACGGCTGAAAGCACAGCAATATTTCATATATCAGAAAATAATTGATCCCTATCCGGGGCAACTATACTCATTGTGAACTTATGTCGTACTAATAGACGGTTTGACATGACGTTGGTGTATCTTTGACAATACTAGTAACTTTGTCATTAGTTTCTTTTGTTAGATACACCAATATGGCTGACATCTCTATTGTCAGTTAACTCTCTAAGCACTGAGTTAAAACGCTCTATCTAAGGTAATTAAAATTATTTTTATACGTAAATATAATATACTAACTTTTCCCCCCTTCATATACACTTATTTCAATAAAGTTAGTCATCTGAAAAGCTATAAAGCTGAGGCCGACAAGGATTATGGGTAGATTCATTTTACACGTTCAATCGCTTGATAACTGTTTAAGGACTTACGAATCTTTTACCGGTTACAGTCTCACCTATTCTGAGCATCATCGAGCTGCAGTTTGTATTAATAAGGCTTTGTATATTTATGCTTTTTCGATATGAAAAGTTTTCCATGATGCTCAGTGATCTCAGCTTTCTAGGTTTTTGGTGACTAACTTTGTTGAAATAAGTGTATGAAATGTGTATCTACGAAAGACTAATCGTGTACCTGTTGGTTTGGCTCCAGGAGCTTCAGTCACACCAGGAGCACCTATACGTAGTGAAGACAAGAATGTGGCATCAAGATTATCAAGGATATATACGAAGTATCTCAACAAATGTTTGATGATATATTTTTTTTGGCACGCTGCATGCTGCATACCAAGCTTTATAAATGTATTGTAGATAATATGTAAATAATGTCAGCACAGAGGAAAATATGCCGGGAAAAGGTGCAGACAACATGCAGCAAAGTTTGGGAAAATTCCATATAGTTGTGACCTTTGGGTATTGCACTGGTATTGCTCGTAGTACATTTTGGGCATGGCATGTAACATGCTTCATTAACCTTTTTGTTTTTGAAATACCCGAATATCAACCCCATCTTCCTTACATAAAGTGTATCTATATATGAAAAACTAATGTACCTGTTGTTTTGGTCCCGGGGGCTTCAGTTACACCAGAAGCCTCTAAAAATAGGTTTGAGGTGGAAATGACATAATAAAATAAGGTAGATAATCATTATTAGTAAGAAATAATAATGACCGGGTCTGCATTGTAATATAGTATTCGTCTTCGCTCACTAAAAAAGTAAAAAGAGCAAAAAAGAGTAAAATCATATACCTGTTTGTGTGCCTCCAGGGGACTCAGTAACACCAGGGGCTCCTGAAAATACAATTAGTAAACTAAGAAATGTGGCTATTGATATGAAGACATTTGCCGTACATTTCATCCGACATCCATTAAGGACGTTTGAGGCAAAACACAATATAGTATCACCTGTTGTTTGACCACCTCCAGGGGCCTCAGTAACACCAGGAGCACCTGCAAGTGCAATTAAAAAAAAATATATGAAATTACACTGAAAAAGGGGTGCAAGGGTATCCCCTAACATCATTAAAGGTAACAGTAAGGTTGTTCAAGGCAAAAACATCCAATCGACAAAAAAATCTGAATGGTTTACCTGTTGCTTTTGTAGTTTGGGCACCTGGTGCTTTAGTGGGAGAGGGTGCTCCTAGGAAAACACAACAAGTGACTGTCGTGAGAACTGAAACCTTAGGTCTGTCCTTGAGCTTGATGATTTATCAGAATGTTAACTTTTGTATTGCATATATTGACTCACCTCCTTTACGAACGAAGCACCAATTTCTGCCTTCTGCTCCGTAGAAATTTACACTTGGTTCGGACATGAACATGTCATCGTAGCAACAGCCAGCGCTGAGGCATTCCTCAGGGGTCACGAATGGGGCCTTCAGGTCTGCGTTGCAATCTTCACGTTCCGATGAACGGATATCACATTCTGGATCTGAGATAACAATATGAGAAAAAATATTGAATTTCAGAAAAAAGGATTCGGCCTTAAACAAATGAATTGAATAATTAGGAAAGTTTTTAGCGTGTGTCCCTACCTGGGTCTTTACGCGGTAAGACATTTTTTGGAGCCAGTTCAAAATAATCCACATTAGCATGCGAGGCAGGTGCATAATGAGCTG